TTACTGTTGAGATATTAAAAAACAATCTTTGGGATGCTATTCTTGATAAAAGGCTCCCTCATTATGTTCATCTCATCCTAGATTAAATGAAAATTGTATCCCCTTGATAGCCTAAGAAAAAAAATCATAATAAGAGTGTGCTTAATTCTTCTGTAGGTCGTGCAATATCTTGAGTATAATATCAATTTGATGTTTCCGGCATTTGTGTAAATGTTTTAGCAAGGAGTGAATTAGCAGAAACTTGAATATGTAGTCAGGAACTATCTAACATACCTTGCAAAAGGAACAGTGAAGGGAAGAACAAGAAACACATGATGAATATTCCAAAGGCCTTTTAGCTGTATTGTTACTTCACATTCATGTGGGTGCACATGCTATATGATCCCCTATAGCCTCAACTCGTGCCTTTTTTACCACCACAAAATATTAGTATGAAATAAGACATGTTTTCATATAATTTGGATTTGTCAAAAATATGCCAGTAATGCAAGAGATATATATTTTTGGTTAGATTAAGTTTACTATTGTGAAAAGATAGGCAGAAATAAATCCACAGTATAACCAGAAATTTATCTTACTAAGAAGTAAAACTGTATTGTTACCTTGAAAAAGAGAATAATGTTATATTTTTACTGATGAGGCATGGAAAAAAAAACATTGTAAACTTTCTATTGATTGTATATTTTTTTCTTCCTAGGACAGCATTATGATGGAAATAAGCAAAGATGGTGGACACTGTGTCTGCTGAGGAAAGGAGGAAGGAGCTTCTGGAAGAATCTCGCAAGTACACGTACCCGGAGGACACAGCAAGTATAAAGCTACGTTATAAAGACACAGCCCTTGTGTTGTTTAAGGTGAGGAGGGATAAATCTCGGTGGAAATTTTCTTCGGCATTTACTGCTCATAGAGAAATGACATGTTGATTAGATTTGGTCTTTTTAATTGTGAAATTATAGATAGGCATTTCACTTACCACTTTGCAGGGATTAAGGAAGCTCTTATTTGACCTTTTTTCTGCTTCTTCTTCTTCTTCTTCTTCTTTTCCTTTTCATTTTTTCTTGTTTTCTTTTTTTTCTTTTTTCTTTTTCTTTCTTTCTTTTTTCTTTTTCTTTCTTTCTTTTCTTTTCTTTTCTTGAGTGCTCCCAGTTCTTCCCTGTTCAGTTATTTTATGCATGCAATGGTAAATTTTCTTGCCACATATTGAATAATTGTTAGTCAGCAATAAAACTTGCTTAAAGGCTCTTAGTAGTAGATTCCTTCCATTGACCTTTCTCTTGGGTGTCCTCTCCAACAGGAAGGCCATGACGATCCCAAGAGCTTCCTCACCTTTGGAACGCGGAGGTCCTCTACAGTGAGTCAGTATGGGAACACTCCTCTCATCGTCCGCAGGTCCCAGAGTTCAAATGGCGAGCTCTCCAAGGTCGCTGAACAGTGGCCTTCTCTCAGTTGCAGAACCTCAGTAAGTAACTATACTTTAGTAGAGGCTGGAGAGAGGGATGACGATGATAGCGAGACAGAAGATGAGCTGGATGTTGCAGTCAAGAGCTTTAGCGGCGAATTACAAGAATTGAAGGAGACAGAAGAGAGTGAGGGCAGTGTTGCAGATGACAATGAGGATGCCACAAGTGAGAGTGGCAAGCAGAGTGTTGTTATTAGAGGGACCAAGGGGAGTGAAACTGGGTTGGAAGTAACAGGAAAGCAGCAGCAAGTAAGTGCGGCAGAAGAAAAAGGCACTCTACTGCAGGCTGGGGAGTATGAGACCAGAAAGAGCTTCATCCATTATGACCTGCCAATACAGAGGCCTAAATCAGTTGATAAAGAGAAAAATGAAAAGATCAGCGGAGAAAGCCTTGACGAGGAAAAGTCTGTTAAAGAGCATCAGGAGGAAATGTGTGAAGTTCAGTCTTTTGATGATAAACAGGGAGATTCAATTAAGGAAGCCACCAAAGATACAGGCGGAGAGATTAAGTTGAGTGAAGAAGACAAAACTGAAAGTGCTGATGAAAAGCAAGTGGATGATGGGAGTGAGTGTCCATCACGAAAAGCTGAAGAGAGTGAGGGTCCATCACCAAAAGCTGAAGAGAGTGAGCGTCCATCACCTAAAACTGAAGAGAGTGAGGGTCCATCACCAAAAGCTGAAGAGTCTCCTGATGTGCTGGATGCTAAAGCCAAAGACAAGGAAAGCACAAAAATTATTGTAGAACATGCAATTGTCGAATCTCACAAAGAGAGTGTCCTTAACAAAGATGAACCTTTGGTGGATGCTTCACCTGGCCGCAGAAGTATTGGGTCTTCCTCTCCTTGTCAGGAGAAGGTTGGTCAAGATCCCTTTAACCAGAGATATTCACACATCTTTAGAACAGAATTAAAGATTGTGGAGGCTTCAGACTTAGAGTCGAATGCAAAGCCATCAGAGGCTTCAACCATACCTGCTGATGATGAAGATGATGATGATGATATAGAATTTGTTGATGCAATCTCTCCAGTTTCTCCTAAAATTGACATAAGAAGTGAGGGACAGATTTTTGCCAGACAATCTGCATCAGAAAAAGAGGAAAAACCCACAGTTGCACCAACTGCACCTGATGCATCAAAGATTAGTGAAAGGGTCAGCACCCCATCTGTTCCCATACAAGTGACTGCAGGAAAAGAGGAAGAAGATCAGACCAAAAAAGATTCAGCAAATGATTTGAACAAATCTTTTGATCGGGAGGAATCCACTAAATTCCTTGACCTGCCAGTCCGAAGTCCTACTCCACCCAAGAAAAGTCCCAGAAGGTCACCAAGAAGTCCCAAGAGCAAAGAGGCAGGCAAAGGTCGTCATTCCTCACTTATTTTACCCCTGGAATCTGAGCCTCAGGCGGTGGCTCCAAAGGGAACTAGATCGGCCTCCCCAACCACCAAGACGAAGGAGCATGGCAGAGTCTTCACATTCTCCCTGAAGCGAGAAAAGAGCAAAAGTGCCTCGTCTTTGCATTCAAGAAGAGGTAAGGATAAAGAGAGATCTTCAGTTCAGGAGGGAAAAGAAGTAGGAATGAAGCATCAGGTTCTCTTACATAGTGAGAGTGATGACATGCAGCTTGAAGCCCTTGGGAAAAGAGTTGGTGTCAGAAGCATGGTCATTGATGGAACAATCAAGCGCAACTTTATTGTCATACACCCATCAGATGAGTCAGACACCATAGGACTGGCACCAAGGGCAGTCATTTCAAATGGAGATGGTAATGCACATATCAGAACCCCCAAAGCACTTTCAAGTGTAAAGTCTCACATTTCAGGTCTGACATCAAACAAAATTGAGTCAGTCCAGAAAATTTCTTTAAAACAGGATATAAAGGAAGAGTTGACAGACACAGTAAGGGATACAGTCTCCTCCCCTACAACACTGGGACCAGTACCAAAAAGGTCACGGTCAAGAAAGACGAAAAGCACTGACAGAATGCGCGCAAGTTCACATTCCCTTTCCAATTATCCTGCAAATGACAGCCAGTTGCAGCGAACAACATCAGGGATGTCTGAGGTGGATTGTGATTCTGTTAACATGTCTTCACAAAGCTTGCACGTCAGCACAAATAAAGTCACATCAAAACTTTGTAGTATTATGTGAAGATTTTATGCTATTTAAAGGACAGAACTATATATTTGTTCATTATGAAAATAAAGAAGATTTAACTTTTAAAAAGGCTACAAAGGAAACAAAGAAATATTTGTAATACATTGTAAGAGATATTGGGAGTACTGGGTTTCGTCTGGACACAGAGAGTCCATTTAGCTGCTGTGGTTCACTGTCTCAGAAAGTCACAAAGCGCAAATTACTCTGTGATTTAATGGTGCCATGAGGAATAAGTAGACAGTAATCAAAATTGTTTGTCTCATGAAATATTGTTTGGTCAACCTTGGCACCTGTTGAGCAGGTTTGTGACATGATTCCTTATTGTCATGCCCCATTTTGTATAAAAAAGGTTATTTTTGATCAACTCTCATTCAGTAACTTGTAAGGGTGTTCTTTATATTTACCCATAGGTAATTTTGATCATAGATGATATGATTTAAGATGTACTCTCTTCATTGGCTTATACTTTACGGTCATTGCATTTACTCTGCTTTTCAAGGTATAAAGTGCATTAAGACTGAATATGCATGAATTGCAAGCGTTTAAGGGAGATGTGGAAGTGAAATGATACAAGTTTTGCGTGATGCCGTCTTTTAAGACTTTTTGGACTTGAAGTTAAAGTTTCTCTGTTCTCAGGCTGTTTTTTTTCTTATTTATGACTGTGAATTATTACAGGAAGGAAATGGTTGTGAAAATTGTTATATTGTTTACTTTCAGTGTTCTTGTTCTGTTTGTATATGCAAGAAGTTTTTGTTATTATTATTTAATGGATGTGTTCACTCATTTGATTTTGAAATGCAATATTTAAAGTGTTCATTTTCACATTTCCAGTTTTTAGATATTGCTTTGCATGCTTTGGAAAAATATGCTTATTTATTACACAAAGTCGTCCCCATGAATCATAAGAAAGTGGTGAACACCTGTTGTTTGTTCAAAGTTTCTGATAGCTTATATTGTATTTTTTTTATATGATGCACATTCATGTCATCTTCTGTGTTGCAGAATAGATATTGAGTATGCAGATACTGAGAATTGTAAAGCATATGCACTCCAGTTAATGCAGATACTGAGAATTGTAAAGCATATGCACTCCAGTTAATCATTTTAAGATCATCAACAGTTAAAAGATTGACATAACTGGTGTTTATTTGTCACAGTATTACCAGAGATTTGGCAGTCAAGTCTCAGTTTTGCAAAGCCATCATTTTGTTGAGTTTCATCTGTTGGTTGGCTGGCAGGAGGTGGTAATAATAGGTGTACCTTTAAGGACTATAGATGAAAGGAAAATTGCAAGAAATATTCTTTCTACAAATGAGGTAAATAATTTTGAAAATATGGGGGGAAATCATGTTTTGACCTTTTTTTTGTATTTAGAGGTAACTGTCATGCCTTTTGCCTTAGAATATTGATAAAAGAAAGAATGCCATGCATGTTCCTAGGCCACCAAGTAATATGCATTAACCTCATATACTCACATATGATCAATCTTTTGTTAAGACATTAATTCTCTCTATGCTTATTGATTGTAAGAGATATATATTATGATCTTTTCTATACTTTAAGTAATTCATCTAGTCTCTTGTGAAATAGAAAGTAAATTTCTCAAAATGACACATGTAGTATATCTTCTTTAAAATTTAAATTACTGATGAAAATCTGATACCGGTGGCATTTTTAGTATGCAAAAATGAGGTGAGAATCATGTGTATTCATTAGTAATTAAGAGCAAGGGTTGGCATGCATTCATACTTATATTTATAGCCTAATGAGCCATCTTCTCATGATCAGTGCGTGTGCAAATGCATGAAAATTATAGAGAAAGTTCAGAAGCAGAATTGGGCGCCATTTTATTGTGCCATGATAAGGATAGTGTAAGTAATTACTATTGATCAGATAAAATGGATAGGGGTTTTGATGTCTATGATTGAAGGGATCAGGAAAAACGTAGTGCATACATAGGTACATTCATGATTTTTTTTTGAAAGGTCACGATTCCAGATATCCAAATTTAAAGAAGAGCATATCTGTGACCCTTATACTGATTCACTGTCAATTGTTATTATTATTATTATTGCTATTGTTATTGTTATTGTTATTATTATTTTATTATTATTATCTTTTTTTTTTTTCTTTTCTTTTTCTTTAAGACATTTCTTGTTTCTGCTGAGAGGGAACGTCCACCATTTACTACCAAATACATTTGGGAGATCTTGGCCATATTATTGCCATATTATTCACTGATCATTGCTGTGGTTTATTATTAAACAAGAATAAGACTCTTGTATAGCCAATCAACAGACTATATTGTGTGTGCATGTTTTTTTTTTTGTTTTTTTTTGTAGGCTGATAGGTCATGTGATCTTAAGAAATATGCAGTATATTGACATACCAACACATATTGTGATATAATTATTTGAAGCATTTTGAAGTGATATGATCCTTAAGTCTTGGTTACATGCCCTGTATTTTCTTTCAGTATTATTTTGTATGATATCATTACCTTTTTTTCACTTTTTCTCATTTTGGTGTGGTAGCAAAGGAAATATAGATACTTGGGAATGTAATCCATGACATATCTTTGTTACTGATGTAATTGTTTTTGTTTTTCTCTATTTTCTTCAGGCTTGGCTTGTATGTGTTTTTTTTTCTTCTTTTCTTTTCTTTTTTTACATAGATAAATATTTGCTTTGATATTTTTGCCAAAGCATTACATTTAATTTGTCTTTCACTCTTCACTGGTGCTTCCCTCTCCCTATTTATTTATTTTCTTTTGCATATGTACCACATTTGTGTGATCAGTGACGTGGAAAGCTTCGGGTATGAGTTTTTCCATCAAATGGATAATTGAGGTGCTTTAAGCTCGTTTTTGTAGACTGTGTGTTTCTTTTGTATAAATATATGCAAGTGAGATGATCCCAAAGTGTTGTGTATCCTTGTGATAAAGATTTGTGTGTGATGATGTACAGTCTTCTGTCTGGTGAAAAGAAAATATCCTTTCTTTTCTGAGTAAGGAAAGCTGGAGCATCCTGTTTGATAGCTTCTTTAGGCATTCATTTTACATTTCATAGTTGAATGAATTGTAGCAAGAGGATTATATACCCATAAGGGTAGAGAGAGAGTGAGTGAGTTTGTCTGTCTGTCAGCATCTTTGTCTACATGTGAGTGTGTGTGTGTGTGGTGTGCTGGCTTGTATGCATGTACGTATGTACATGTGTAAAGCAGCAAGTATAACTGTGTGCGTGTTTGTGGTGTGTGTGTGTGTGTGTGTGTGTGTGTGTAAGTGTGTGTGTGTGTGTGTATTATATGTATATATATATATATATAATATATATATATATATATATATATATATATATATATATATATATATATATATACACACACACACACACACACACACACACACACACACACACACACACACACACACACACACCACACACACACACACACACACACACACACACACTCACATATATATGTAAAATATGCATATACATATACATATACATATATGCATACACACAGTTGATTTCTTATCTGTGTATGCGTAGCTAGTCATGTCATATGACAGAGATACATTTTATAAACTTTTATCTTGCCAAATTATTCTAGGCTGTAAAATCACTACCTGACTACCACTGTGTATGGTGTAAAATGCATTTAAAGTCCAGGCGACATTTCGGAAGGAGCTTGCTTGTGTGTGTAACCAAATACATCACTATTTAGATTTGATAAAGATATTGGTATAATGTAATTTCTTATGTAGACATGTAATTTTGATATGATGAAAATCACAAATGCTCAGGGATTTTGTAGAAGCATGTAACTTTGTTATCCAAATAAGTTGAAAGGTTTCCAGCTTAAGGTTGAAGAATAGAAAAAAA